CATTTATTTATATTTATTTTTTAAATATAAATGAAAAATTTATCTTTATTTTTTAAGTATAAATGATTCATTTAGTTTTATCCATTATTATAAATGAAAAATAAAACTAAATTAACACCCCTAATCAGTAAGTAAAGTTAGCGATTGTAACAATGATTTAGTTCATTGTCCAAAATTTTGACAATGATTTGTTTAAAGTTACAGAAAACAAAACACTTCCAGCTTTTGTCCAAGTCAATAAAAGTCGGTTTCTTCGTATCCAAAGTAAATATTCTAACAGCACTGTATGTACGACCTCTCAACGTCCTCTCTAGTCTAATTTTATGAACAATTTCATTCTTTCAGAAAAGTGTTCTGATTTAGGAATGTTTCCGCAAAAATCCTGACGTTTAGGGCATGGTTTTTATAAATTATTACTAAACTCTTCTTGGTTTACTGTCAATTTTCGTGAATCCTTTTGATTTTTTAAGCTACGATGCCAAGTTGTCTTCACGTTTTTATCGTAAGCATTCCTTTACAAAACAGTTCGTACAAAACTGATGGTACGAAATAGCTACTGTCAGACAGAGGCTTAATGGAATCAAAATAAATGTGTAGATCTCGTATTTTAATTACCTGCAGTTGTTGAAATACTTGAAGATACTGTTGACGTTGTGCTCGGGTTGCTTGCAGCTATATAATAAATATAAAAAAGACACTTTATCGCAGGGATGGCAACTCCGCTGACTTTCAACTCCAACTCAACTCCGTTTTCAAATTTCCAACTACAACTCCGCTCAAAATTTATCAACTCCAACTCCAATTCTCTCTACAGAAATCTCAACTCCAGTTCAACTCCGGCTGCTTCACTTTTGTAAGGAAGATTTTTCGGTTTTTAGCAGGATTCTGGACGTTTTTGAGCTTTTTCCGGCAGGAAAGCGCAAAGAACTTCCGAATTCACTCTTAAATACAGCCACTCAATCGTTTAGAAGATCAGTTTACAACTATTGAATATTTCTAAAATGAAAAACGAAGTTGAGAATAAAAAATAAAAAACCCAACTTCAACCTACTAAAATCTCAACTCCAACCCCCACTCCACCAAAAAAATCGTCAGTTTCGGAGTTGGAGTTGCCCAGCCCTGCTTTATCGATGTCTTTTAGAAAAAAAATTATCCTTCATGTAGGCGAACATGCTATTTACTTGTTGTAGTCAATGAAGGTGTACTAACGCTTGTGGTAGTCAACTGTAGCGATGTAGTGACTAAAACAGAGAAAAAAATATATTTTAAGCAGGAGGAAGGTATTAAAAAAATAATTCCTTCAAACATGTAGAAGCTCGTCAAGCTATTTCAGTTACAATCGATATGAGCTATTAATACCAAAGTCCTCAAAGTCTCGACGCTTTTAACAGCTTAGTAAGTGTGTTTTTATCTACTATCCATAATAAAGTAGAATGGGTGTGTGTGTTTTTTGACTAACTAGAGAACGAAAAGAGCTGGAGAGATCGAGCTTTCATCATTTTGAAGCCAATACTCTTTGACGCATGTTCATTTAATAGAGAACAATTTGAAAATCGTTCCTGGAAGTACGGTGTTCAAAGGATGTTTGGTGAACCGATTTGTGTAGCCCAACAAACTCACACAGAAATATTTTCGTTTTCTACGTGGTAGATAGCTCCGAGTGGCCTCTTCAGAATGGGAATCAAGCGACACCTTTATTTTCAGTGGTTCGAGTGTAATATCGAGTTTCCTTGGAGCTCGAGGACTGGTAACGGATAACGTGGGATAAACCTTGAAATTTCGTGGAATACAGGTGGCCGATCTCGTTGAATCTGGTAGTAAAGCTTGTTTTTCAAAATAAATTCGAAAACCGATGAAATGAGGAATTTTTATTCGTAACGAATCCAAACGAAAAATTTTAAAAAAGCTTTAGGTTTGTGGGTCTTGTCAGGTTGAAAACGAATCTACACTTTAGGTTCGTACTAATATTTAGATACAAGTATCCTTTCTCCTAGAATATTTTATATCTGGGTTCTTAGGTTATTGCCTTCCTGTTATGTTCAAGACACATCTAAAGTTAGGTAGCACAGGGGTTTGGTATTTATTAGATGAAGCCCCTCACGAATAAGAATCCTATGCGAAAACCTGGTAAAACCGAGTTTTACGGAAACCAGGGTTTTCAGACTGCCTCCATGTAATGTGAAATAAATAAATTTACAAAACAATATAGTTTTCTAGAAGAGTTTCTAGAAAGTCTTTTAGCAAAAATATGATGTTTTATTTTTTCGATCGTATAATCATGTTTAACGGACAAAATGCTGAGGTTTATTGAATGAGTAATGAACTTTTAAGTATTACATGAAGACAGTTTGAAAATCCTGGTTTCCGTAAAAGTCGGTTTTACCAGGTTGTCGAATTTATTTTGAAAAACAAGCTTTACTACCAGATTCAACGAGATCGGTCACCTGTGTTCCACGCCATTTCTAGGTTTATCCCACATTTTCCGATACCAGTCCTCGAGCTCCAAGGAAACTCGATTTTACACTCGAATCACGGAAAATTAAGGTGTCACTTGATTCCCATCCTGAAGAGGCCACTCGTGGCTATCTACCACGTAGAAACAAAAATATTTCTGTGTGAGTTTATTGGACTACACAGACTGGTTCACCAAAGATCCCTTGAACACCGTACTTCCGGGAACGATTTTCAAATTGTTCTCTATTAAATGAACATGCGTCAAAGTATTGGCTTCAAAATGGTGGAAGCTCGATCTCTCCAGCTCTTTTCGTTCTCTAGTTAGTCAAAAAGTACTCACACCCATCCTATTTTATTATGGATAGTACTAAAGGATTGTTTTAGAAGTAAACGATTCCGGTTTCAGATTCATTTTGAACCTGGGTGAGTGAGGAAATGCGTGAAGGGATTTCTGAGAACAAAAAAGTTACTTATGTCAGTTGTAGTGAAGCTAGTCGTACCACTCGTCGTTGATGATGCTGATGAACTCATTGTTGTGCTAGAAGCTAGAAATAGGCAACGTTTGTCATATAAAAACGTACTTATTACTGATCAGTCCAGTTATTAACATGATAAAAAATATGTTTTATGTGAAATAGAGAGCTTTTGAAAATCAATTTCACATTTTCGAATGAACCGATATGTAATTAATTAAAAGTAGTTAAAGCTACACACCTGAGGATGGAGTTAAGCTTGTAGTAGCAGTGATGGAAGTGATGGAGGTAGAGATCGTTGTAGAAACTGTGTAAAATAGAATGTAAACAGCAAATAAAGTTTGTTTTGTTGCCGATTATCCGGAAAATCTCACTACCAGCGGAAATATTGAAAGTAAGCCCTTGTCAACAATTTGGAAAGGCTTTGCTTTTTCATAGCGAAAGAGAAAGCAGAAGACTTTCATACTATCTCTTCAGCGGTATTGGAATCCACTGTCTCCACCCAAAAGCCTGAAAGTTGCGACAACTCTGTGCTTTGCAAGCTATGATATGTTACCTGTAGATTCAAAAGCCGAAGTATTGTGTGGCGAGGTTTTCAGTGTTAGGAGAGATCCTAGAAGTCCGGCTAATACAGCTAAGAATGCCAAGATTAATGGACAATAACAACATGGATGACACCACCAATATGATCTAAGAGAAGAAGACTTTTACTTAAATTAATTGTTTTCAATACATCCTTTATACCCTGCTTTACGTCGCCGTTTTCTCTTTTTCTTATCTTCATCCTTTGGATTACAATAAATGTAATAAAATTCAAATGTCTTGTTTTTTGGTCGTTTGTGTTTCAATATGTTAGTGCATGGCGAAGATGAGAAATCGACAAATGATTCGCTGGATATCTACGAGAAATATGAATTTCTGGTGGTTGACTCTCGTGTTAAGAAGAAAGAAAATATCTTAGTTCACCAGTCTGGGCTGAATGGAGTGAAGAAATTCATCGAACGAACAGTTCATATCATCTTTGTTCTATGAAGTAGAAGACATCTTGCTTTAAAAACACGAATGGATGAGCTGTACAACAAAACTTACCGCCATATTACAATTTACGTGTGTAACAACAGGTTTAAGGACATCAATTGTGGGTTGAATGTCAGTTTCATCAAGGCCAGTTTTAGTTGAAGCTTTGAAATGAAAACAATAAAGCACATTTTGCTCTACAAACACATATTCGTATTCACCTCTACGTCGATTATTGCCGGATCTTTCAGATTCTTCTTCTGGTTTTATCTTCTAAACTCTAGAAAAATGCATTTTTTGGTTTTATTTCAAAAGTCTTCCACATACCCATCTTGATAATTTAGTAACACTCGGCGTTGTTGCAGATGTGGGAACGGAAATTGGTATTGAAGGTAATTTCTAAAAATGCTATGTTTTCTTCACATATACTTTACAGAGGTCATCTTACTTGTGCTGTTGAATTTAAAGAGCATTTTCTTTGATCAGAAGCATTCATATGTAACGATGACACTGTGTCCTATTAATTACATCATATTAATTAGATATTTTGATAATAGACCTATGACTTATACCTGTCTGTGTGATTTCTCCCTTGAAACTCGGGTAACTATGGGTTTTAGCGAGGCACTAGCCATAAGAAGAATCTCTACTTGTTCCACTTGTATGATTATCCTTTAACAAAAAAGTACTGGTGACCAAACGTCTCATCCTACTTCTTTGTCTTTAAACGTTGAAATAAAGACAAGAATATTTATTCGTATTCATCTGCATTCTTACTCTGTTGATCGCACTCTACGAGTCTGTGTAGAGCTAATGTGTATAAACAAAATTTAGGAATTCATGAGAAAATGCAAAGCGACAAGAGGGAAAATTTGTTTTACAGATTAAAAAGTGTTTTTTCACCTTTCATTGGGTTGACTTGTATTTGTAATTATAGATGAGTAAATTATTTGGTACTACGATACTCCATTCAACGAGCAACGGAAACTTATTGGAAGATCCGAAGTTGTGTAATATTTCGGCACTCTCTCGTTGAATGGAGTATCGTAGTAACCAAATAATTTACTCATCTGTAATTACAAATACAAGTCAATCAAATGAAAGATGAAAAAACACTTTTTAATATGTATAAAATACTTTTTCAATTCTCACATCGATTTTTCTCTCACTCTGTTGTCTTACAAACCCTTATACTTTTCATTTCTATTGTTTTGCGAATTTTTTTTTGATCATTATGATTTAAAAATAAGCCTTACAATATTCTTCTTGTCATTTGATTTCCAACTTTATGTATGTGACTGTAAAATAATGAAATAAAGACCGAACAAGTGCACGGATTTCAATTACAACAAACAAGCAAAAGAATATCGCATACTCTGCTGATTTACAGTAAATACAATTGAATACTAACGACCGAATCGACACCTATCCATTTCAAGGTCTAGGACCTTTACTGTACTACGAAATATAATAAGCGGTTTTAAAACCAATGGAGAATACTTTAGTTTTCTCGAAAAAGTTCTTTTTTCAAAACTTTGGAAGAAAGGGAATGTTTTTTGAGTACCGCTATTGGCACCTCGTAGGGTGTCAAGAAGACGCTAGCTGTCGCTACCATTGGAAGGTGTCAGAAATGGTTATTTTCACCTTCTAGCTTAATGAAAGGTTCCTCTTACAGATTACATTGATAAAAGCATAAGGCAAACTAGTAGACGTTTAGGGGGGGGGCCCCGCGGGGGGGGGGGGGGGGGGGGGGGGGGGGGGGGGGGGGGGGGGGGGGGGGGGGGGGGGGGGGGGGGGGGGGGGGGNCGTCTGTTTACCCCCCCCCCCCCCCCCCTCAGAAATGACGATTCTCGGTCAATAAATCGATTTTGAGATAAGCACATGAAAAGATAGCCTGAAGTATCTACTTTAAGAATATATATGATTTAACACAATACGAATGGTTTTTGAGGGAATTTTAAGAGGTTTTCTGGAGATCGTCCTACGGAGAACATATTTTTTCACGCTTGTATTTGACATAAAACATAGACATATTACATATGAATGGAAAGTACTCATCGAGCTGCATCCAATGGTGCAGGTGGCGACATATAGAAGTGCACATGACGCCATCTAGGTATATGGCGTGAATTTTAGAGCAGCTTTTCCAGCATTTCTTCAGGCCTACACAAACACACTTCATCTGCTTTTCTGTAAAAATGGCTTCTATGCAAAAAAGCACTTTTTTCAATACACTGTTTAATTCAGATAGAAAAAACAATGTGTTATTCGTAAACTTTATTAAAAAACAAGCCTACACAACATGAATACATATTGAAAATAAACAGCAAAAATAAGAAACTGCGTATTATTTGAAAAACCAGATCGTGTGTAAAAATTTTCGAATAGGATCGGGTTGATTTTTTTCATGGACTGACAGCCCGGGATGTCCTCTTACAAATGGAAATCAAGGGAGTCCTTGATTTTCCGCGGCTCTGGCATTGTATCAGATTTCCTACGAGTCCCAGGACTGGCACCTGGTGACTGTTGGTAGCCTTGAAGTCGAATGGACTATGGGTAATCAATCATGCTGAGTCTTGTGGAAATATTTATTTTTAGGAAAAGTTCTTAGAATCTGGCGGAAAGGAAGTTCTACGAAAATTGGGTTTTCAGGTTGTTTTCGCCTAATATTTAAAAATTCACTATTCAATCAAAATACACCAGAAGGAGTTCAAAACTTAAGAATATTATTAATTTTGTCCGCTAAACATTATTATAAGATCGAAAAAATCACAAAAGCATATTTTTGTTAATGGGTGTTCCAGACATCCTTTCGGAAAGCCTTAGAGTTCTTAAAATCTCTTTCTAGATCTCCTGTAAATAGAATATAGAATAGCCTAAATCCTTTACATTCTGAAGTTTTGAACTCGTTCTGATATATTTTGATTGAATAG